TTGATCACTAATAATACAGTACAAACTCTACACCCTCAAATAACTTTTCTATTGTAAATATTTTAAAACGTAATTTATTCCTTATTAATTAAAGCTCATTTATGTATTTTGTTTTAACACGATTATTTTTTTATTTATCCTTTATTTAACCAGGTGAAAACTCATTGAGATTAAAAATCTCTTTTACAAGAGAGACCTGGCCAAGATGCTGCATAAAAAACATAAAAGACAAATTTCAACATGTATAAAAACACATCAAATACACATACATATATATCACAAAAACCCTGTGCTGAAAAAAACAAAACAATTAATAAAAAAATAATTAATAATAATTAAAAAAACCAATCTCTTCTGTCCGTCTGTAGCGCTACCGGACTCCATCTCGGTCTCGCTCACGGTCGTGGGATCGGTTTCGGCGCAGTGAGACGCCTCCACACTGGAGGCAGGAGATGCAAAGGACACAGAAAGCTAAATCTAACACCGGCGCCACACAGGACAGATGGATCAAAGGGGACAAGTAAGTCCAATCTTACAGTACATGCAAATATTGAGGTCGGGATTCATATAATGAGGGCTTTTCAAGCTTATTTAATTAGAAGCTGAGCGATATGGGCAAATAAATCATTCAATATCAATAATCATCATGATAAATGTAAAATCTTTTTAAAGTTTTAAGGCAGATTTTTGCTCCGAAGTGAAAGTTGGTAGAAACCCACCCAGTAATTTAAAAACACTTTATTGTCAGAATTCTTAATTTTTTCTTCAAATAAATATCCTAATAGAAACATTTATTTTTTTAGTTCTGCATGTTCTACCGGGTGATATTGTTTCAAAATCATGAAATAGATTTGTGTCGCCTGACTTTGTTCAGGGAGTTAATCCGGAATTCCGGTTATTTCAGCCTAAAATCATGAACCACGTGAATCATGCAGATCAGTAATAAAAATGGGGGGTGTTTGGAAGTTTTGGGAAAGTCATTGTAATTTGTTTCAAAATATTTATATCATAGAATATGTTTAAGTGATCATATTAGTTAAACAAACTGCAATAGAGAGCCTAAATCCCTCCCCTTCCGGTCGACCACCATGGGACCTTATTTCGGAAAAATATTGAATGGTAGTCAATGGCGAGAGACAACAAATATTTTGATCTCGTTTGAATGGTGCCCTGAATTACACATATGATGTTTGTCAATTTAAAAGATATATTTTAAAGTAAAGAAAGTCGCAGTTTGTTGTGAAACCGTTGAGGTATAAGACTGTGAAAATACGTAATTACAAAAACTACAAATCTAAGCTAACTTTACTGAGGCTAATGTCTGTCATTGTTTCTATAGTCTTAGGTTATAATCGTAACGTTACGCCGTCATGCCTGACTGTTTTGTTCCAGACTGCACACACACGAGCAGCGGATCTCGCTACCTCTGACTAAGAATGCATCATTTTGCACTTGTATAGTCTTTTATTTTGGAATTTTAAGAGCAATAAACATATATTGCAATGTTAAGGAATTTTATGTTTTTATTTATTTTTTTCGTTCAGATATGTTAATCAACATGTATAAATTGCTATTGGTCAATTAATGTGGAGATGAATCGAATCGGACCGGGAAAATGAATCATTAGATTAATCGATGCATTGAAAAAATAATCGCTAGATTAATCGTTTAATAAAATAATCGTTTATCCCAGCCCTATGTAAAATAAAAACATACGGTATATTACAGTACTTTATAGATGTCGACATTTAATAATAATATTCTATATGAATATTCCACATTTCTGCCACAATACCGGGGTGCAGTTAGTGTTACTACAGTAAATCCATGGTAAATATGGTGATTTAGATTGAAAAGCCTTGTGACTGTATTGTAGCGCATCGATGTGTTTCATCCGGCTTAAAAACTAAATCACAGAGACATTTGTGTTTTTCGCTGAATTCGAGCGCATCGATCTCACAGTGTCGAACTCAGTGTTTTTTCGCCCAGCCCTAATCCGAAGTAGTGTTGTCAAAAAACTCGGTACTTCGGTACCAAGTCGGTACTAAAAAAAAAAAAAATGTTACGGTACCAGCTTTTCTAGGTACCGAATACCAGGTTAATCCAGTTCTAGACGCGCTGTCTGAAAGGTGCACAGTTGCGTCCTCTTTATAACGCTGATATGGCTCTCTCTCTCTGAATCCACTTGTTGACACGAAAGGAGGAAAGAGCCACATATGGAAATATTTTGGATTAGGCTAATGTCACGTTGCCATAAGAGGCCGATTACATGCAAATTCGCAATTTCAAATATAGGCGCGAGGCAAGCGTGCTCATAATAAAAACTCGTTGCATAGCAACGACAGACGCCGCGTGAGAGCAAGCGCTTTGGAAAGAATAAGCACGCGCAAAGATATAATAAAAAAAAAAAACACGCGCGATATGTGAACGGCCTCTAAAGTGCTTTCGGGGTAGTTTTACGAGTACATGAGCACAGTAGTATCCAACCGACACCAGAGTACTGGTATTAGTATCGATGCATCCCTATTTATGTCATTTAATGTCAGTGCCAGTTCTAGGCGTATTCTTGCCTTTATAACTCGGCAGTTTTAAAAAGCCTTTTCAAAATTAAATATGAATGCAGTTTTAGATTAAATAAAAGTACAGTCAAATCAAATAAAACATGTTTTTTCTCCTGTAGCCTATAGTTTGGTAATGCTACAATAAGATACCATTTATCAACATTAGCTACTTCACATCAACACATTGAGTGAACAATATATTTTTACAACATTAATTAATGTTTGTAAATGTTATTTAATAGAAACACTTGATTGTTCATGTTTGTTCACTTCATTCATTGTGCATTAAATAAATGTTAACGGATTAGAATTTTACAAACAACTTTAAAAATGTGTTAGTGTATACTATTGTTTATTTTAGGTCATTTTATCTAATTTTTTTCTAAAGTGTTTATAATACAAATGTACAGTTTCCATACTTGTAACCATGATAAACACTTAAATATATGTAAATTTAAACTAAGCTTTGGTACCGAAATTGGTACCGTGAATTTTTACTGGTATTGGTACCGAATACTGAAATTTTGGTACCGTGACAACACTAATCCGAAGTCTTAATCTTGAAATAAATGTTTCATGTGTATTTTTTTTAATTTTAGAGGAGATATGTCAGAGGACAAAGCAGATGCCCCTGAACCAGCCAGCGAAAACAAACCTGCGGGACTAGAAGCAGCAAAAAAGAACGAGAAGAAAGATGCGAAGCGGGACAAATCACGCAGTCCGTCCAGAGGAAGAGATAGGAAGAGGGACAAACATCGCTCCAAAAGCAGAGATCGGGACGCACGGAAAAAGACTGATGCCGATGTGGAAAAGAAGAAAGCTCGCAGCCGGAGCAAGAGCAAAGAAAAGAAGAGAGAGAAGGAAAAGCGCGATAAAGCCGATGACAAACGAGGACGCTCGAGCAGCAAGGACAGAAAAGAGAAGGATAAAGATGCCAAAGAGCGAGAGAAGGAAGGCGGAAGCAAAGAAAGGACCAAACAGCATCCGGAAGGGAATGAAAAGGAGAAATCCAAGGAGGTGGAAAAGAAGAACAATGGAGAGCAGCAACGCGACAGATCAAGAAGCAGAGAAAAGGCGCGCAGGTCCCGGTCGAGGGGTCGGGGTCAGCGCGGCCAATCGCGCGAGAGAGGCCGTGACCGGCGTCACAGCAGCAGCCGAGACAGAAGATCCTCTCGCCGCTCCAGAAGCAGAGAGCGAGACAGGGCTCGAGATCGAGGGAGAGACGCGGAAGACCGAAACAAGAGGAAGAGCACCGATGAGGCGAAGAGCAAGGAAACCAGAGGACGGGACCGAAGCTCCAAAGAACGCTCTTCCCAAAGAGAACGAGACGGGAGGAAGAGGAGAGGAAAGAGCGACAGTGGAAGCAGCGATTCTGAGAGCGACGGCGATAAACGCAAGAAAAGTAGAAGGAGCGAGAGCCCAAAATCAAAAGAGAGAGCAAAGGACAAATCTAGAAGTCCAAGAAAAGATGCGAAGAAAAAGGACGCCTCGTCCAGCGACAGTGACTGAGACTCTGCATGTACCACTCCCTATTTTTAGTTATCTTTCCCCCACACAAGCATCAACGGTCTGCTGTTCAGCAAACGATAGCATACAAAGAGACTGACATTTTAGTCATCGTGGAAACCACCCTGGAATACTTTTAATTACTGATGCAGACCGGAAAATCCTTATTTGTTTCAATTGAATCGGTTCTATTTGTCCTGCTTTTATCTGACGTTTGTTTTCTCTTGCCAATATCGCTCGACGTAAATGTTTAGTGAGTTTCCTAGTGAAAATGGTTGCTATTCTTCTGTCTGATCTGAGCTTTTTTTTTTAAGGGTTTGTTGGGGACATGTTTGCGTACCTTGGAGTTTTGTAAGGGCTTTCTGTTTATAAAGACATGACAATGTGAGCTTCTGCTGAATTTGACAAATAAAAATTGGTATTGAACCTGTGAACCTCGCTTTCAGTGGTCCTGTTGATTGAAATCTCTCTTTTTTTTCTTTTTTTTTTTAGTTTCATGTATATATTATTTAACATTTTATTCCTAAAAACATGATTTTTATTTACTCTGACTATTGGTATTTTATTTTTAATTATTGAGTGATAAAAATATCCAAAATCCGGTTTTTCATATTTACAAACAGGATTTTGGATATCTAATTTTTATCACTCAATAATTAAAAATAAAATACCAACATCCAGAATATATATGTATGTCTAACGCTATTTTTCATTCGTGCTTGAAATTTTTTTTTTGCAGTCATAAATCGTCCTGACGCATTTCATAGTTATGACTGCACTGCACTTTAATAAAATGATTTCCTAGCAATGTCTATAAGTTAGATAAAACCGGTTTCATCTCGAATAAACTGATTCGGTTTACTGAATGGAAACAGAACGCAAGAACGCCCCCAAGTTGATTTGCGCGACCAATCAGAGCGTCGCATGACGTTTGAGTGACGCGAGCCACAGCCTATCAGAGACGGGCAGTGACTAATCATGCTTTGTGTTGTAAGCAGCAGCCCGTGTAACAAAGTCGAATAATTCACTCAGGTTGCAGCTTCAGGTTGGTACACATTTGATTTCCTCACATGCACCTCGTTACGTGACGTGCTGAGAAAGCATCGTTGAACATTTGTTCGTCATCCATCGTGTCAATATTGTGTTTTTGTGAAATTCCCAGCGCAGGATGAAGAGCTTAGTAGTGTTCGACTTTGACCACACTATAGTGGATGACAACAGCGACACATGGGTGATCCGCTGCACCCCCGACCAGACGTTACCGGACTGGGTGGAAAAGTCCTACGAGAGAGGCCGATGGACCGAGTATATGGGTCGAGTCTTGACCTACATCGGGGACCAGTCCGTGAGTCCGGAGCACATGCGCGCGGTCATGGAGAGCATCCCGTTCACCGAGGGCATGCTCGAGCTCCTGACCTTCATATCTGAGAACAAGAGCGACATCGACTGCATTATAATCTCCGATTCTAACACTCTCTTCATAGACTGGGTTTTGCATGCATCAGGGTTAAAGTCGGCTATAGATGACGTCTTCACTAACCCTGCAAACATAGATGCGCGCGGCTACGTGAGTGTGCGCTGCTTCCACGCGCATGACTGTACACAATGTCCTATAAACCTGTGCAAGAGGAAAGTGCTGCATGATTTCAGAGAGAATCAAGCTAAGGCTGGTGTGCATTATGAGAGGATTTGCTATATAGGAGATGGAGGAAATGACTTTTGCCCCATTAAAGAATTGAGAGAAGGGGATATTGCGATGCCTAGGAAAGGATTCACCCTAGAGAAACTGTTGTGCAAAGCCATTTCAGAGGGTGCAGAAGATCTCAGTGCGAAAATCATGCCCTGGACCAGTGGCAATGAAATCCTCCGGGATCTACGAGCTCTAATTGAGTAATACAGTATTATATGAGATAATGACTGAACCAATAGAACACGTTTAATCTGCAGTAAATGCATCATGTGCATGAACTATTATTAGGCTATAGATATTTTACACACACAAACAGAAAAAAAAAAAACATCCCTTAATTTACTTGATAAATTTATTTGGGCATGGTGTAATATCTGAGTATATGTTTGGTGCACATTTTTAAAAAATTGACACGTTAATTTACATGTAAGTGTTTATGAGAGTATAAATGCAATTTGTCTTGAAGGTTTAATTAATAAAATAAGCTCACTGTTAGGATTTAACAGGTATTTAACAGTTTGAGGTGTTCATATTTAATCCAGTGAGGTTTGCTGTAGAGCGTTAAAATGAACAAATGTAAAAGTTTTAACATGCTGGCTAAACATGTATTTGCACGATATAGAAATTCCCCTTTAATATCAATATCTATTAATACACAAATGAATGCCATTAATGTCATGTTATGAATGAATGCAGCCTGGCTGTGACAAAATCCTTTAACACTGCAATCTTCTACTAGTATAAAATGAAAATAATCTAGAATATATAATACAACCAGATTATTATTATTATTGGAAGCCCTAATCTGCCTTAGTAGTATCATATTTTCATATATAATGTGGGCCTGAAAAGTCTGAGACCACTGTAGTTATGAATTCTGGAAATATTAAAACTATTCTGAAATATTAAAACTATTTCCAAAAGGAAGACAGAACATTTGAATTTTTAAAATTGTATACAGCACAACCTATTATTATTATTGAAATGCTCAGACTATTTATTTCCAGATTTTTAGTATGGTCTCAGACTTTTGACTCCTATTTTTTTCTGGACACCAGCGGTGTTTATAAAGCCATCCGGGTCATGTATTCTGACAGCATATAAAGTGTCAGACTTGCTGCTCTTGATGTAGATTAACAGTGCTGTGAATGCTTCTTCTTGAATAAACCTGAATTTTAGATGTGTATTGGAAATGCAGAGTGTTGTATTCAAAGCAAACAGAGATGAATTGAGGAGATTATGGATTTCAGTGTTGGTTTATATGACTGTTTACAGGGAAACTTGGATCTGAACAAATCCATTTATATGACTGGATCATCGCCATATTGACCTAAACTAAGACCTTGTTCCTGTTAATATTTACAACACATCTTGTGTCCTTTGTACTTGTGACACACATGTTTAGTGTCCCATTAAAAAGGAATTTAAAAAAAGTTATGGCCTGTCTTTTGTTCATTTCTTTTCGACTGAAGAAATAATGACATGGACATTTTGGATGACATGGGGTGAGTAAATTTATCAGCACATTTTTTTTTAAAGTGAATACTGCTTTAAAGATATTTTATAAAAGATCAACAATGTTTACCAAATGAATATTCTCAAACTGAAAAAGCTAGGAGATGAGTGTATTCCGTGTTGTACTCAATTTCCCAATCTCCCCAGTCTTTGCGTGACATCATAACCGCGCGACGCCATACTTGACCCACCGTCGGAATCGGATATCGTTTAGTGTGGCGTTTCATTGAGATCAGACAGATTCAGAACACAAGGAAAGTGAGTATGTCATTTTTTTCTTGCTTTCACTGATATTTAGGCTGTTGCGATGTTTCATACATTTGACGGATTGAGCGCGTGACATTTTGTTCAGTATCGTTATCGTTCTGTGACATGTGGCGCGCGTGGCGTACATGATTTATAAACACTTATAACTGCTGTTGACTGAATTATATATATTATTCACACAGCGTATGTTTAGTGCTGTTAAAAAACTGGGTTTATAAACTTCAAGTTTTCAACATTTCTATTAAAATAAATAGTGCATGCACGAGTTCTGCTGTAACGTTACTCACACGTGGTTTGGAAATCAATGTTCTTGTGATTTTTTTTTCACGATAATATAGGTTGTGACGTAACATTTTGATAGAACATGCAAAAAATAAATAATATGAGTTCAGACTTTTGAACGTTTGCCAAGAAAGTGTTGTTTATCATCCTAGCAGAGATGGCAGACAATCAGGAAATGTCTCCTCTGGAGAAGAAAGTGGCAGAACAGATTGAGGTGAGATAACGTTAATCATAAGTATGTTATCTTTCCAAGCCGTCGTTCATACCAGTGACGTTAATAATAATCAATGTTTCGGTCTGTGTTTAGTACTATTTCGGTGACCACAATCTCCCCCGAGACAAGTTTCTGAAGGAGCAGATGCAGTTAGATGACGGCTGGGTCACTCTGGAGACAATGCTGAAATTTAATAGGTAATTGGAAAAGAAATGCATCATGTTTCTGAATAAATCAAGTACACCTGGCTGCAGCTTGCAGAACTGGGCGGGGCTACACGTGTCGCTCCTCCCCACGCCTACTCTGATTGGCTCGATCGTCTTTCATTGGCATTCATATGATGCAAAATGTGGTTCAAATTTATATGAACTGGAAAAGCTGTGCACTGTGCAGGTTCACAAAGCCTTTATTATAATGGTTTGAAGAAGCAAACGTTTGCCTGTATGATATCTCACAATGTTCTTGAAATTGTTTTGCTAAATTAAGCTGTTTTTTAGGCTAACATACAAATGACAGCACAGCATTTAACCCTAAATATCTTGAAAATCTTGAATGGACAGAAGAACACTATAAACTTCATCATGCACAATAAATTAACTATATGTTGTATGCATATGTAGAATGTATGTTCTTATGAAGCCATGCGAGGAACAAAGTGAAGTTTAGCTCACGAATGTCTTTCTCACACGCATTTAAATTTATGTGTGGCTTCTTTGGATGTGTCGTGCCAAACATTTTTGAAGGAAAATTACATTTGAGCTGCAATGGAGAGTTTACAGTCAATTTAATAGCTTGAATTTTGGTATGTTTCACACACAAAGTATGAGACAAATCAAAGTATGGTTGCATAAATGACTTGAATAAGAAAATGGCTACATGAAGATTCTTCATTGTGTCAGTCCATGCAGCTTTGCTGTGGTTATGTCCCATTTTTTTTGTAATTTTTCCTCGCAGATTAAAGACTCTCACGTCAGAAGCAGCCTTCATTGTGGAGGCGCTACAGAAATCTAAAAGTGGTCTGCTGGAGATCAGCGAAGACAAAACTAAAATAAGGCGAAACCCGAGCAAACCTATTCCAGAGTACAGTGAGGAATACAAGGACGCGCTCAAACACAAATCCATCTACATGGTGAGCGCATGGGAACAATGACATTAAGTCCTCTTTTTGCCTAACCTTGTTGCCTTTGCTCTAAAGCAAACAGCTTATAATAATATTTGTACATTGTCTTGTCCTGTTTTTGAATCCTACAATAGGATACTATACCCACATTCTGCATTTTGTTGACTGTTGTGAATGTTTAAATTCAACAGAAAGGTTTTCCTCTTGAAACTACACTGGATGAGGTGAAAGAGTGGTTCGCTGATAAAGGAACAGTCGAGAACATTTACATGAGGAAAGGACCCCTGAAGACTTTCAAAGTAAGGGTTTTAAGAAAGTCAGAGTTCTCTTGAAACAGAAGTTGTGATCGATATTGCTTCTCAATTAAGGAAAAAATTAGTTTTAGGGCTTTTGTTTCAGAAAATGGTGCGTTTTCTCCCTTTAATTCGGTTAGTTAAGGCATATGAACATGGCAATCACGTTCAGATCCACACAGGACAGTTTTACTCACATGTGACTTGCATAAACACATTTCAGTACTCTTTGAAATGTTGCCTTGTGAAAGTGAACCTAACCAAGAAGAAAATACAACATTGTAGCAAATTTACAAGGTCTCGGAACAAAGCAAACAATATACAGGTCTAAAATGCCCTTAGTTAAAGGGATAGTTCACCCAAAAATGAAAATTCTGTCAGTAGTTACTCACCCTCATGTTGTTACAACCTAGTAAGAACTTTGTTCATCTTCAGAGCACGAATTAAGATATTTTTGATGAAATCTGAGAGCTGGATCCTTCCTGCATACTAGTTCATAGGCTTCTTGAGGAATTGAAACTTGCTGTCCTCGAAAAGTTATTAAATACATCGTTAAAACAGTCCAAGTGACTTTAGTGGCTCAATCTTAACTTTATCAAACGACGAGAATACTTTTTGTGCGCAAAAATAAAACAAACAAAAATAACGACTTTAGTGATTCTTGTGTCGCAGCCGCTAACACAAGAGCTCTTGAAACCCCGCCCCCTACAACAGCTCATTTGCATTTAAAGGGCCAGACACATCAGAGAATTATTTTACGTCTTGTGAAAATGGCATCCCTTTAACCACCCCTTTAATATATGAAAACTGTAGCTATGTGCTGTCTACCTTATCAATACTGAGCTCTGCACTTTTGCTGTCGTCTGCAGGGATCAATCTTTGCGGTTCTGGAATCTGAAGAGGCCGCCAAAGCTTTTGTCGAACGTGCCGACGTCAAAGAGTACAAGGGGAACGAGATGATCGTTATGATGAAGTAGGTGCTTTTGCAGTTTAGTTCCCCATTTAGCATTGCATGTTTACCTAGTAACTGAATGGCATTGAATATACTGGTGTAAGAGGTGTTAACCTTTGACCTCGTCTGTAGAGAGGCCTACTTTACTAAAAAGATCTCAGAGAGGAAGCAAAATCGATCGGAAGCAAAAGCTAAAGCAAAATGGTAATGCACAACAATACATATTTTCTACTAAAAAGTGAGATGAGATCTTAAATGTTATAATTGGTAAACTTGTGCATTTCAGTGATAAGGAGGACAAGCAGAAACAAGCTGAAGAAGAAGAGCTGGTGAGTTTCATACAAAAACTCAAATAAAAGATTTTTGTTTTTTGTTAAAATTATTTTTTTTTTACATTTTCAAGGCATCACCTTTATTTATATAGTGCTAGATACAATACATATCATCTCAAAGCAGCTTTACAGTGATGCAAACAGATTCAATTCTCTAAAAAGACAATAGTAAACGGTCATTACTCAGTTAAAATGAGTTCGGTGTTGATTCATTTCGGTGTAAAGTACATTATGAGTTAAATTCAGTTATAAAGGAGCTCTGCAGAAAACTGATGTTCTCATACAATGGTGTCAGTACATTCAGATTAATAATATTGTTGAATCTTAAGTGTCCCCAACTAAGCAAGCCAGAGGCGACAGTGGCAAGAAACCCAAACTCCATTGGGTGACTGATATGGAGAAAAAAAACCTTGGGAGAAACCAGGCTTAGTCAGGGGGCCAATTCTCCTCTGGCCAACCAAAGAGCACGGTGTGTTTATAATTCAGGCTGCAAGTCAGATTGTGGATCGGAAGCTTTCAAAATATTTCATCCAGTTCCTTCTGCTTGAAGATCGGTTTCATCAAGCTGGTATGGAGCTGACGCTGGTCATAGGGGTCTGTGTGGAGGACTTGTCTGGTTCTTGGGGTCTTTGCTGAGGATCTGTGCTGATGGCTGTCATATCAACAAGGTCTTTATTAGGAATTGTTCTAGTAGACACGGCCTCTGCTGGCATTCAGGGCTACGATACTTCCTGGTTCTAGTAAGAACTCGAGCTGCTGCGTTTTGGACCAGCTGGAGTTTGTTTATTAAGCGTGCAGGGCAAACACCCATTAGAGCATTACAATAATCTTGCCCTGAGGTCATGACATTTACATTATATTTACGTTACATTTATTCATTTAGCTGATGCTTTTATCCAAAGCGACTTACAATTGCTATATATGTCAGAGGTCGCACGCCTCTGGAGCAACTAGGAGTTAAAGGGACACTACATTTTTTTTTGGAAATAGGCTCATTTTACAACTAAACAGTTGAGTTTTACCGTTTTCGAAATCCATTCAGCTGATTTTCTGATATTTTGAAGAATATCAGTAACCAGATAGTTTCTGGTCTCATTGACTTCCATAGTATTTTTTTTTTCCTACTATGGAAGTCAATGAGACCAGAAACTGTCTGGTTACTGATATTCTTCTAAATATCAGAAAATTGGCTTGATGGATTAGAAAACGGTAAAACTCAAACGTTTAACCCTGAGGGAGTTGTAAAATGAGCCTATTTCCCAAAAAAGTGTAGGGACCCATTGGTGTCTCACAGTGGATTCGAACCCAGGTCTCTCACACCAAAGGCATGTGTCTCATCCACTGCGCCAAAGCTCACCACACCATTATAAACGCAATTAACTAATTTTTCTGGATTTGTTATTGAGAGAATATGTTGTAATTTAGATATATTTTTAAGATGGTTTTACAGATGCTAGAAACATGGCTTTCAAATACAAAATTGGTATCAAAGAGCACACCTAGGTTCCTAACTGACGACGAAGACTTGATAGAGCAGCCATCAAGTGTTAGACAGTATTCTAGCTTATTACCTTTTTGTTCAATAATTAAAATAATTTTTAATTATAATAATAATAATTTATTTTTCAGAATTCAGAAGGAAATATTACTAAAATACTAGTCATCCAATTTTTTTTATCAACTATGCATTCAGTTATTTTGTGAACTGGAGTGTTTCGTCAGGGCGTGAAGAAACATAGAGCTGAGTATCGTCAGTGTAACTAACGCCAGCAGAGAAAGCTAACGCCATGCTTCCAAATAATAGCATGAACAGGGAAAAGCAACGGTCCTAGTACTGAGCCTTGAGGTACTCATGAGTGACACCTCTTCATTTACTGCTACAAAGTACAAACTGAAAACAGTCGGATAAATATGATTTGAACATGCCAATGCACTTCTACTACTGCCAACGTTATTTGTTTCTATTTTAAATAACGTTGTGGTTGATGGAATCAAATGTAGCACTAATAGCAAAAAATACAACCTTGATCGAATAAGAGCAAATCATTAGTAACTCTAATAAGAGCATTCTCCGTACTATGATACGGTCTAAATCCTGACTAAAAATCCTCACAGATACCATTTCTTTCTAAGAAGAAACATAATTGTGAGGTTTTCCAGTATTTTTTTGCAGAAAAGGGAGATTCGGCATGGGCCTGTTCTCTAGGATCAAGTTGTGTGTTTTTTAATGAGAGGTTTAATAATGTCCAGCTTAAAAGTTTTTGGTATGTATTGTATTCTAATGGCAATGATGAATTAATAACTTCTGGAAGCATCTCTTTCAGTAGCTTGGTCTGTATAGGGTCTAACATACTGTACATGATGATTTTTTTTTAGCGTGTAATGTTGAAAGTTGTGGTTATGTTAAAGGCGGTGACATTTCCAAAACACTAGAAGCAAGTGACCAATCACAACACACTGGTGCAGCCGACCAAACATGTTATGCTTTTCTTCAATTTTTCTTATTTTGCTGAAATATGAGAAATAAAGCATAAAAACCTATTCTAGTAGACCCCCAAAAAAGAAAATCAAGACTTTTAAAGAGTGCATAATAGGTCATATTTAATAATATCACTCTTCTTTTTACCCAGAAATCCCTGAATGATCAGAGAGGCTGTCTGCTGAAGTTCTCCGGTGAATTGGGTCAGACCTCGAGAGAAGATTTCCACACGGTCTTTTCTGATCATGCCCAAATTAAATGGATTGATTTCACCAGAGGAGCAAAAGAGGTGAGAACAGAGAGTGCTTCACATATTACTCTGACAAAATCATATCAAGTAAATAATTGTATTAATACCTTAAGGATGTCTTCCATTAATGTTGTGTTTGATGTCCTCCTCAGGGCACCATCCTGTTTCACTCAAACGCCAAGGATGCCCTGCAGAAAGTCCGCGAGGCTAAGGCAGGAGAGGATCCGAAGGTGAAAGACCATGTTGTTCAGTGGGAGGTACTTGAGGGAGACACCGAGATGGAGATGCTGAAGAAAATCATTGAGGATCAGCAGGAGTCCATTAACAGACGCAAACAAGGCAGAGGTAATTCACAGGACACAGTAAAGACATGCACATGGATTTATGATCTCCCTTTTTAAAACATGTGCACTTGTTCCACGCCGTATCCTATAATTGCAGGAGGTCACAGGGGTCGTGGAAGAGGCAGGGGAGGCCGCAGAGACCGAGGAGGACGAGAACAGACCCAGTTCAGGGGAAAGAAGACCAAGTTTGATAGTGACGATGAGGGAGATGAAGGTAAATTGGTGTCGCATATGTGGGTGTTTTAGTTTTAACAATATAAAATAAAATACTATTATAATATAATTTATTTAGTTTAAATAGAATTTCTTTTTATTATATATATATATATATATATATATTACTATTATTATTATATAAATTCTTTACCTCTAAGTTCTCATGACTAGTAATTATAATTTTTTAAAAATCATTTAGAGACATAATTATATTCTGTACTTAAGACAAAGCCTTATAAAAATTATAAATCATCTTATTTTGCAACAAAGAATTTATTTAAATAATTTCCACTCTGTTCTGTGTAGACAACACTAAAGATGTTATACGTAATTGTTGACTTTCCCTTCATGCAGTGGATTTGTATGGCTTTATATTTTTTTAGTGTTGAGTAAATAAATGCCGAGTTTGCTTTTAAGTTCGAAAAATATGAAAACATAAATGTATTTTCCCCTTCAACAGCACCCGCCAGTCCAAAGAAGAGACCCCTTGATTCGAATGGACAAGATAATGGAGCACCAGTTTCCAAACAAGCAAAAAGCGAGAACGGTTCTTAAGGGGGAAAGAGCCGTGGCCTTAATTTTGTACTGTAGCTTTTCCCTAAATTCAAGAGATCTGGAAAATGTATTCTCAGACTACTTCCTGTGTCAAAGGCTAAAAGCTGCACAAAAGCTTTCCGCCATACTTTAACCCTAAACTCTTCATGAAAAAGGCATCATGCATCAAATTTCTATGGAATTGTTTTCTTTGAACAAACATCCTGGATGCCATTTATTTATTTGCCATATACACACTTATGATTGTTGGTATGATTTAAGATCTCATATGCAGCTTTATAAATGTGGCGTTTTCAAAATCTGCTCAGCTTGTTCAACACAGTTTGCTGGTAACGCTTGTGTAACTATTGACATCTTTATGTGTTCTTTCATTCCTAGAGCGGTGACAGTCTGATTACTCTGTACCGATTAGTTTTTCATTATTGGTTCTGACTGCATTTGTATGCAATAGTGAATTATTTTTAGAAATGTTTGAGGCCTACAAGTAAACTTGTAAGGGTTTTGGAAATGCCTGAATTTTTAGTCTTAATCTATTTTTTTTTTTTTGTTCATTAAGTTAACGAAAACCTATTTTCCGCCTGTTAAAACTATTCTTTAATTTCGTCACTTGCACAAACGTAGCACGATAAGTGTGTGGAATCCTTATTTCTTTTTCTTCGTTGCTGTAAAGTTGCTTCAAGTGGTTACAGAGGCATGTAGTTCTGGAGAGTTTTCATTAAGAGTACTTAATTTTGACTGAAGATTTGTTTTTTTAACTCACCTTTTCTTTTTCACAGCAACGGAAACATGTCTCTTAATCTAAAGTGCTGTTTTAGATGCTATGCTTCATAATTACCCCTTCAGGGCTTCAACAAGCACTCATTATTATGTTTTTTTCCCTTGTTTTTTTACTGTAAGATGAATATTACACGCATTTAGAATTTCAATAAAGATCTTGAAAATCAAAACTGTAATATGTGGTTTTACCTGGAAAATGGACACTTGATGCAGTAGCTGGGTTGGGTTAATATCTATTTTTCTATTTTAATTACTCCTTTCAATGAAAAAAGTCTTTTAAAAACAAAACTTAATAGCGTGCCTAACTTACTATCCCATAAATCGCAATAAAATGTGTTATTTGTTTTGTTACTCCGCTTTCAAATTATGCATCTTATTATTATTTGTGTGTGTGTGTGGTTAAAATTCAAACAAAAAGCAACGTTTTGGCGCTCTTTTATGTCACGTGACAGATCGCAGTACCTCAGTTCCATAGACACATGAGACCTCACCTTGGATACGGCAGTTCATTAGAACGAATGCGTCAATAGAGCCGCCATCTTGAAACAGGGGAGCCCCTCTACTTTAATGCATCAGCGTCAATGTAGTAGACACAGGTCTAACGCAAATAAAATCACCATAAATCATCATGAATGCGATTTTTCTTGTTTTTTTGGTTTGTTCCAACGGTCAGACATGTATTTATCATTGATTCCAGAAAGAAAAAAAAATGTAATTTTTTTTTTTTAAACATTCTTCCTAGTTCAGATTTCATCCGTGAACTTCATACGCTGCACAAAAGTCCGCCACCATCAATGAATTCGAAGTAAAGGCAGAGATTACCTAGCTACTTCCTATGACAAGACCCCTGTTCCAAGATGGCGGCGGTTTTGACGCATGCTTAGAACCCCCAGGTGAGTTCTAGTGTCTATGCCTCAGTTCAAGCAAAACGCACGCGTGACGAGAACCATCTCTTCTGCTTTACTGATATTAACAGCACGGATTAAACCTGAATGAACATCAGAAGGTATGGTGAAAGATACATTTATAATTGATCGAAATCCTTATTCTCGTGTAATCGCTCAAACAGTGTGTCAATCGCCATAACGTTAAAGACATCAACAAACCACTTGTCAACATTAGCCCCTTTCACAGAGAAATCCTGGTAAATTACTGTAAAATTACCATTAAAGACTATGTGTGAAAGGGGCTAGTAATGTTACTTGTTAATTAACTAAGAAAATTCATTCAATGTCCATTAACTAGTTAGCTAAAAAAAATCCTTGCTGAATATATTTTTTCTAATTTCATGTAACCTTTTCCACTTAAAGGAGTAGTTCACTTTTAAAAAAAATCTGGCAAACTTCCTATACTACTTCTGAATAGGATGCCTACTTCATAAATTGTTTGAAAGTTGTGGAAATATGTGGTTTAGATCACAAGTTGGTTGTCAACTTTGGTACTGTGCCCAAACAAAATCTTACTGAAATCAACCTACAATTTGAAACACATCTTGTTCAGATTTTTGCCTTTGTTTTTTGTTGGGTTTTTTTTTTTTTTTTTTTTTTTCAGTTTTAGAGTCCAACATGTTTTGAAAATATATATTTTATACAAAAATATGAATATTACAATTTTTACATTGAACATTTTCATAAACTCAAACTTCTATAACTTTCTTTCTTTCACTCTTAATTTATTTCACTTCTGCCAAATGTCTTATTGCGTCCATATTCCAAAAGCATTCTTGAATTACAACCATTTAAGTTCGTGATATGAATTTTCATGTCTATTCAAACAAAACAAAAGAGGGGGAGGGGTAGGCCTATGTTTGAATAAATTAGTCATGTTTTTAAGTCGGCCACTACTTAAATGTTTTGGGGGGTTTTTAAACTAGAAACGTAATTGTGATTTAAAAAAAAAACATTATTATAAAAACCATTCAAATATTTGTAACCTTTAGTATTATAGTAATGTACCAAATTCGCCTCCCTGTATAGTTTACTTTACACCATTAGACCACGAGAGATTTGCCTTGATAGGCCAGTTGAACCGATATAAGGTCATAGTAGTCATCATGGCTCGCTTGAACCCGAGCACAGGTGAGTTTTATTAAAACTGCATGCAGCATTATTTATTTTTAAATGATATTTTAGCAGTTGAACATTTGCAAGCCTTGCACGTCTTTAGATGTTTTTCAAAAACAAGACAAATATCACTCTGTTACCATATTGCACATTTGTTTGTAATTCTATTGCAAATATATGGTGTATGTATCCTTGTATGTATTTTAACACTTTCAATTTTCTTTTTATTTGCATATCATCATTGTTTCAACTACGACCTGTAAAGTCACCAACCTGCTCTTTTACATTATTATGCCCTCCATAAGACTTTATATAGTAAATGAAAGTGTTGAAGGGAGTGAGTGTAAAGCTCAATGTCTTTTAGAGGTTAGATTTTCATAAATGTATTTATTGTGATACCAGCTTGCAACCAGCAGGGGGCGTGATGACTCCTTGTTAGTGTCCAGCACTGCAGTTTTTGCATGCTAAAATCAGGGTTTGCTTTGCTTAGAGGTGGTTGTGCCCTTTAACGTTTTGCTTTTGAGTGAGAATGTCAGTTCTGCTGTCTGTGTTGTCCCTTTGGCGCAGTGTTGTCACTGTTGAGAAGCAAGCCAAATTGGTGTTGATCCTCAGCTCACTGCATCAGCGCATTGCAGTTTCTTGAGCTCGTCCACTATGGTATGTGAGACTCATTTGTTGAGCAACCTCACACTGTTTGGTCCATAGATGTTCATTCATTCCACTGAAAACCAGTGCGAAAGTCAAGAATATCATAGGCTTGGGCCGGTAAGAAACCACCCGCAAATACATAACGCACTTTTACAATGCTTTAGCAACCAACTTCAGCTGGGAAAAAAAGACATCTTAAGACAGCCTACGCCTGGTTGTTGGTCTTAGCTAGTTTAAGCTGGTCTTCCAGCATGACTAAGTCATTATTTAGCTGGTTTAGCTGGTCGGCCGGCTGACATAAACCTTCTAAAACCAGCAAAGTTCAGGCTTTTTCCACCCATGGAATCACTCTAATAACATGGCGATGAGTTTTACATGTGCAAACATCACTCATATATGTTAAAAATTATTTTCGGATGTTTTTCCTTGTAGATTTTAACAGTTTTTTCTCTGTTTTTTTCCTTTCTCACTATTTTTGACATCGAGCAGCTTACAGTATTCATTTGACACACACACGCAGGTCTTCATGCATCGGCTCGCGGTCTATTGTCAGCCTTGTTTTGCATGCACACGCAGTCGTCAGCATGTCAATGAGTGTCCCTGGTGTCTTTCAATGTCTGCAGCCTCTGAAAGTCAAAGATTTGACGGTGACACCAAAACCGCTGCTATTCAAGGCACATAAAGCATGTCCTGTGTAATGAATGCGAATGGGTTTATGATCGTTTACAGAGATACCACGTTAACGTGACATGCATCGTTTGCTAACAAATGGGGTTGTTGTCTGTCATATAACACGCAATCCAATTTCTTCAATGCATCAGTTGGAATTTCACAGCACATGTTGAAGTCAGGAGGTAGACATAGTCTTCAAGCTATCAAGTGGCAGGCTATCATGCACGTTAGTGGCCAAAGGTGATGTCCGACTGACATCTTGGCACATTAGAACATATTTTGTTGATCCTGGAACAACATTCCTGTCTAACCATATCCCTACTCCTAAACCTAATAACTTATCCCTAGCCTAATATCAGAAGGAAATGATATATGAATAACACTGATAACGAAGCACCTAGCTCTGATTGTAAGCCTACACTTGGAATAAACCATACATTTATCCCTCAAATCTGATTGGTTGATTGGAATGTTCCTGGATCAGGAACATGTTGCACTTGGTGAAATCAGGTTCTGCGAGATCATTATATATTGAAATAATTAGATATTATTACAATTTTGTGTAGTTGTGCTTAATTTGCAATAAGGCTATGAAACATTTTTTGGCCAGGTTGTCATACAAAGAAATTATGATTGTGAAAAACAAGAGAGAACCAATGAAATATTTATTTTGTTTGTCACCAATGTTCCTGTGAGCTTTTTGTTTTTCTATGCATTTTTTTGCTTGGTAATATTAAACCTGTAGCTGTAGTTTGCCTTTTTTGCCAATTCATTTTGTCAGATAAATATGTTAACCAAGTTTAGTGTTTTTGTTCTTCCCTCATATTTAAAATATTGAAAAAAATATTAAATTTTCTCTTCATATTTTCATGTTTTGATTTTTTTAAATCAAAATAGGGTTATTATTAAAAACAAATATCGGTTACACTTTATTTTTATATATATTAGTATTTTAATGGCTTATTTGTGGATAGTAAATGATTTGATTTATCCTCATATTTAAAATATATAAAAAAATAAATAAAAGTTTTCCTATTATTTTGATGTTTTAATCAAACTTATAGGTTTACTGTTAAAAACAAATATCAGTTACACTTTATTTTTTATATATCTTAGTATAGTAACGGCTTATTTGAGGATAGTAAATGATTTGATTTATTCTCATATTTAAAATATTGAAAAATTAAAAGTTTTCCTATTATTTTGATGTTTTAATCAAACTTGGTTTACTGTTAAAATCAAATATCGTTTACACTTTATTTTTATATATCTTCAAAAATGATTTGAGGATAGTAACGGCTTATTTGAGGATAGTAAATGATTTGATTTATCCTCATATTTAAAATATAGAAAAAAATAAAAGTTTTCCAATTATTTTGATGTTTTAATCAAACTTGTAGGTTTACTGTTTAAAACATATATCGTTTACACTTTATTTTTATATATCTTCAAAATTGATTTGAGGATAGTAACGGCATATTTGTGGATAGTAAATGATTTGATTTATCCTCATATTTAAAATATAGAAAAAAATAAAAGTTTTCCAATTATTTTGATGTTTTAATCAAACTTGTAGGTTTACTGTTAAAAAACAAATATCGGCTACACTTTATTTTTATATATCTTAGTTTAGTAATAGCTTATTTGAGGATAGTAAATGATTTGATTTATCCTCATATTTAAAATGTGGAAAAAATAAATATAATTTTTCCTAATATTTTGATGTTTTAAATATCAAACTTAAATGTTTACTGTTAAAATCAAATATCGGTTACACTTTATTTTTATATATCTTAGTTTAGTAACGGCTAATTTGTGGATAGTAAATGATTTGATTTATTCTCATATTTAAAATATTGGAAAAAAAAATTAAAAATTTTCCTATTATTTTGATGTTTTAATCAAACTTATAGGTTTACTGTTAAAACAGATATTGGTTACACTTTATTTTTATATAGTTTAATAACGGCTTATTTGAGGATAGTAAAAGATTTTTTGATGATTTAAATATTTATCCTCATATTTAAAATATTGATTTTTTTTTTAAATTTTTCCTATTATTTTGATGTTTTAATCAAACCTATTACTGTTAAAAACAAATATCGGTTACACTTCAGCATCAAAATTAAGTGTTATTTAGCAGATATTAAGCAGATAGTCTAGTAATACTCTAATGAAAGTTAGTTACATAAGTTACATATGTCTAAAGGGGACTATCGAAATAAAGTGTTACCCAAGTATCCCCTCCGGACTTCACTTTTGGCCAATACTTAATGTGTTGTAATGACCTTTTTGTATGCTTCACACTGACGGAAACTGTCACATCACTTTGTCCCAGCATGCTCTCTGCTGATGGACACCCATTGTTACATGTCCTTGAAAAGTGCAGGATTATAACGTTGACGGGCATCTACAGCTCGCTCTCATTCGCGCTGGTCAATACCTGAGCAATCAGGGCTTTCGGAGGAGAATCTGTGGGTGGCGAGGGCTTTCAGAGATGAATGGACGGAGAGATCAGCCTGATAACGGAGGTTTAATTCCAGCACCAGTGCATTATGTGCAGCCGTTAGTAGTTGTTTAAGTTGATATAGTGTTGTAGAGGTTAGATGAGCAGAACCATGTG